CAATTAACACAGATCTGTTAGCATGGTTTGCACCACAGAAGTAGAAGTTGCTAATCCAGGATTTGACAGCAAAGTTTTTTGGTGAGTCTCTGAATATCGAAACATTTGATATGGATTATCACCGTTTTCTGATAAAAGAAGAGGCAGGGTGATACGCTGCTATATTTGTACTTTTCAGATATTTTCTGCTAGAATTGGTGACTGTCCCAGTGAAATGTAATATGGTCGTGTCATGTCTTCACCCGTCCAGTTGCTCTTCCTGGATAGCAGGAGACTTCATTCCAGATGACGGGAATATTACACCACAGTCAGCTGCTCCCCGGCGTATTGTCTGCTAGTCTCAATGCAAATGTTGTTCTGTTTATAGAAGTTTGGATGCCTGTACTCCCTGCCCCATGACAAGATGTAAAATGTTGCCAATCTCAAGTAACAGTCACAGTGCACGTTTGGTTTTGTAGTTTTAAAAGTCTGAGATGGTCTTGTTATTAGATTTTTTTTGACACATCTTATGTAAAATGTCTGTTGATTCTGGCCTGTTGTCATAATGTTAGAATGTTGCTATTCATAAAGTGTATTGAAAGGCATCTGATACCCAATCGCTGAAATGATACCTAGAATATTGCTTTTAACACCTTCCCGCCCGGCCTATAGCAGATTGACAGCCGTGCGGGACACTTGCCATTGTTGTGACTGGGCGTCATATGACGTCCTGTCAAAACGAGCCGCTCATGGGCTGCGCAGCGGCGCGCGATCTGTTACCGGCTCAGCTAATGACATATCACTACACCGGCCCGTTGCCAGTGTCATGTCACCGCTGTGACCAATCGCAGCAGATTACATGTCAATTGTATACAATGGATGGCTTCCTGTCATGCCATCCATTGTATACAATTATGTTGTTAGCTGTGACTGGTCAAAGCAGTCACATGATATAGACAGGGCCAATCACAGCCCATGTGATGAACTTTGCCCAATCACAGCTAATCACAACAAAAAAGATTGAATGAATCAGTTTAATTCAGTAACAATGATTGCAAATATCAATGCAAATACATTGGTATTAGCAATCATAATGTGTTAAAAAAAAAAAAAAAAAAAGAAGAAAAATCCTGATCACTTGCCCAGAGTACTTCAGTGTTACTATGTTAACATTATAAATAAAATGGTGTAGCGCTTTATTTATATTTTTGAGTATATGCACCTAAAGGTATAGAATTGGGTGTCAGCAGTTTTTTTAGGTTATCACACATCCATTTGAAGCGCAGGAGGATTAATACTTAATATTCACTATGGTAACATTGTATTGCTTTGGTCACAGTGTATTGAAAAAAAAAATAGTAAAAAGAAGAAAAATAATGTAATAAAACATTTTAAAAATCTTAGAAAATTTAGAAAATTATTATTTTTATTATTTTCACCAAAGAAATGTAGCAGAGTACATTTTGACCTAAATTTAGAAAAAAACTTATTTATTTGCAAAATTTTTAACAGAAACGAAGAAAAGTGGGGTTTTTTTTCAAACATTTCAGTTTTTTTTTTTTTGTTTTATTTAGTAAAAAATAAAAAAAACTCAGCGGCAATTAAATACCACCAAAAAAGCTCTATTTCTGTAAAACAAATGATAAAAATTTCATGTGAGTACAATGTTGCATGACCACGCAATTGTCATTCAAAGTGCGACAGCGCTGAAAGCTAAAAATTGGCCTGGGCAGGAAGGGGGTAAAAGTGCCCGGTATTGATGTGGTTAAATCATTAAAAACAATAAAATTACTTTTTTATTGTTTATAGGTGGGTTTGTGACTTCTAACAGTCAGCAGTGCTCCTTTCATTAGTTACCTGGGGGAGGAGATCCCCCTGAGGGCTGATGGGGGAGGAGAGGAACTGTATGTGCCTGAGCATTCTCAAAGCTCAGACACAAATACAATGCATGCACAATGAGGGGAAGCATCTAATGTGAGCAGAAAACATGCATAATAATGAAGCGGCAAAGCTTCTGGGTACCAGCAACACTTGAGGGATCAGCCACTTCATAACAAGCTATATACCATTGATGGCCCAACAGTGGCATTCCACTTTAAAGCCAATCTCTAGCAATCATTTTTATTTTAGTTTTGGTTACTGTGAGGAACAGTTAAAATTGTATTTTTTTTTTAGTGTGTTTGTGACCCCAGTGGAGAGATATTACATCATTTCCTGTCCCTGTGATGTCAGGAGAAGGAACATTGTTTGTTCTTGTCTCTTTATTGAGGACATTTCTTCGGGCAGCACAGTGGCTAAATGCCATGAGTGCCATAGCATACTGAATGTCATCCAATTAAGTAGTTAAGATCTACTTTAAGCTGCCCACAAATTTCTTATATCTTGCAGGGACATTAAGAGCTAGTAGATATCTGCGGTTTTCAGGTATGCTTCCCAGCTGTGGCCTTTAGATTTCATTTGAAAGGCTGTGAAAAATGTTATTACATGTGTTTTCTAGATGAAAAGTTTCTGTGTATTGATCAGTAAAATACTTGTGCACAGATGCATTTAAACGCGTAAAGATGCACACGCATACATAATTTGTTTTTATCATACTTTATATTTTCACTTTATTTAGACTTTATTTACGTGCTTACAAGTGCATATACAGTTGTGTTCAAAATAATAGCAGTGTGTTTAAATAAGTGAATAAAGTTCAAAATCCTTCTAATAGCTTTTATTTCCATACACACAAATGCATTGGGAACACTACACATTCTATTCCAAATCAAAACATGAAGAAAAATATATCACATTTGTGTTGTTCCTCTAAAAAAAAATTGAAGAAAAGTGAATATTAGACTGTTCAAAAAAATAGCAGTGTTTGTATTCTTCTTTACAAACTCAAACATTCACTATATAAACTGAAAAATGTTTGAAGATTTTGCTTTCCTTTGAATCACTTAATTAATCTTTAGTTGTATAAGCACTGTTTCTGAGAACTGCTGTACATCTGTGTTGCATGGAGTCAACCAACTTCTGGCACCTGTGAACAGGTATTCCAGCCCAGGATGATTGGACTACATTCCACAGTTCTTCTCTATTTCTTGGTTTTGCCTCAGAAACTGCGTTTTTGATGTCACCCCACAAGTTTTCTATTGGATTAAGATCCGGGTATTGAGCTGGCCACTCCATAACATCAATCTTGTTGGTCTGGAACCAAGATGTTGCACGTTTACTGGTGTGTTTGGGGTCGTTGTCTTGTTGGAAAACCCATTTCAAGGGCAATTCCTCTTCAGCATAAGGCAGCATGACCTCTTCAAGTATTCTGATGTATTCAAACTGATCCATGATCCCTGGTATGCGATAAATAGGCCCAACACCGTAGTATGAGAAACATCCCCATATCATGATGCTTGCGCAACCATGCTTCACTGTCTTCACAGTGTACTGTGGCTTGAATTCAGTGTTTGGGGGTCGTCTGACAAACTGTCTCTGGACACTAGACCCAAAAAGAACAATCTTACTTTCATCAGTCCACAAAATGTTGCGCCATTTCTCTTTAGGCCAGTCAATGTGCTCTTTGGCAAGTTGTAACCTCTTCAGCACGTGTCTTTTTTTCAACAGTGGGACTTTGCGGGGGCTTCTTGCAGATAGCTTGGCTTCACATAGGCGTCTTCTAATTGTAACAGTACTCACAGGTAACTTTAGACCTTCTTTGATCTTCCTGGAGCTGATTGTTGGCTGAGTCCTTGCCATTTTGGCTATTCTTCTATCCATTCGAATGGTAGTTTTTTGCTTTCTTCCACGTCTTTCAGGTTTTGGTTGCCATTTTAAAGCATTTGCGATCATTTTAGCTGAGCAGCCTATTATTTTCTGCACTTCTTTATATGTTTCCCCTCTCCAATCAACTTTTTAATCAAGGTACGCTGTTCTTCTGAACAATGTCTGGAATGACCCATTTTCTTCAGAATTTCAGAGAGAAATGTACTGTAACCAGCATGTACAACATTTGCTGCCTTCCTTCCTTAAATAAGGGCAATAATTGCCACCTGTTTTTCAAAGAACGAATGACCTCACTAATAGAACTCCACACTGCTATTATTTTGAACATGCCCCTTTCAATTAGTGATTCAATTACACAGAATCAGCAGCATGCATGTCATGACTGTTGGGTCTGTTGGATTTCTATTACTCTACTACACCTGCTAGTAAATTATTTGCCATGTAGAAATATCATTTCTACCAAAAACAGTGATTGATCAGGTTAGTGATGTCTGACTGCTATTATTTTGAACACAACTGTATATGAGTTTATTCACGTAAGTGTGTAAAGCACATGTCCTTGGATGCAGATTTTTGGATTCTGTGTTACAGATTTGAAAGCAGCTTGTGTACACACCTGTGTGAATGGCTGCATTCAGAACAAAAGACGCTGTATATGCGTTTTTTTTTTAGGGCCATTTAAATAAGGCCTAATTTTCTCTCTGTCTCTTAAAGTTTTGTTTTTTTGCATAAAGAGGAAGTTTTAGGAGCACTGGGACTATCCTACTGCAGCTGAAGGAGTGGGTCTTCAGGGAGATGTGGGCTATGTTGCAGAAATCTCTATAATAATCTCTAGTGGGCGGCACAGTGGCTTAGTGGTTAGCACGTCTACCTTGCAGTAAATTGGTCATGGGTTCGATTCCCAACCATGGCGCCTCCTGCATGGAGTTTGCATGTTCTCCCTGTGCTTGCGTGGGTTTCCTCCGGGTGCTCCAGTTTCCTCCCACACTCCAAAGACATGCTGGTAGGTTAATTGGATCCTGTCTAAATTGACCCTATTATGTGTATGTATGAATGTGAGTTAGGGACCTTAGATTGTACACCCCTTGAGGGTTAGGAATGGATGTGAATGTTCAATATAATATATGTGTAAAGCGCTGCATAAATTGACAGCGCTATATAAGTACCTGAAATAAATAAATAAAATAAATAAATAAGTCTTCAAGAGACATAAGACACCAGTGGGCAATTCTGGCTATTAGTATGCATCTTTCAATGTGGATACTGATTCTTTAAATATCTTATGTGGAGTCATTTTTTTTTTTTTGACAGATCAATACACAGAATATTAATGAACTGATTGATTGTTTCATCCCCTGTAGGTGCAGCTGTACTCTGAAGCAAGTGTAGCACTTTTGCAACTGAACAATCCCAAAGACTTTCATGAGTTAAACATTCAAGCAAAGAAAAACATGACTATAGAAGGAAAAGAGGTGACACTCAATCCAGCTTACTTGTTATGGGATCTCAGTGCTGTGAGTCAGGTATGTAATTAGGCAGCTACCTCCTCAGATCACCAAGAAGGGTATTTAGCTGTATGGATGTTCACATCTTAAGAGAAAGCAATGCTAATTCACAGCTACCTTGGATATAATTAAAGGGCTCAAAGGTCACAGATTTATTTTCATGCCTGGCACATCTACACCTCTCTTCTTAAAAGTCATCCAACTGATGAGAGTAGATAAATGGACTGAGCAGTGCACTTTTCAAAGCCAGTACCAAAATATTCTTAAACAGGGTCAAAGGAGCAATCAACACTTGTTTATGCGTGGTAGCAACATTCTCCTGCCGTGTCAAGAAGCATTACACATTATTAAGACGTATGGCCATGAGCTTCAAATATGACAAGTGCAGAGCGGCAAGTAATGATTTTAGCCTATGCTAGACATTACATGTCCTCATCAGTTATTCAAACACACTGTATCATCAAGCCACGCAATCAATGAAATGCAATGTAGCCATGAAATCATCTTTTGTCTTGCTATTAATTAGCCTTGCTACTACATATATTGTGCTGTGATTGCTTTTCTGGCATGTTAAAGCTGAAGCAGTGTAAGTAACTGAATTGGCTTGATGTTATCCTATTGCATCTCACTGGAAATTCTCTAGAGCAGAGGTCAGAGCTGAGGAGCAAGAAGCAGCACAAGGATCCAATCAGGTATGCTGCAATGCGAGGAAAATGCTAATAAGATGAGACATCAGAGTCATTAGTCTATTGCTTCTTCTTTCTTTATCCAGTCATGGGGCAGGAAAAAAAGACCTGTAAGTGAAAGTGAAACTGTAGATTCAGTTTGGCGAGGATGAAGGAACCTTCACTGCTGGCTATTGGATTCAGTCACTGCTTTTCCTTCATGCATGAAGGTAAAAAACCTTTAGTATGCCGCTCCACCCGCAGCTCCCCCTAATACTTACTCTAGCCTGATCCAGTGATGTACACAAGAGCGGCTGCTGTCCCTGTTCTCTGCCTTCTCATTGGCTCAGAGACAGCAGTGGGAGCCACTGGTTCCCACTGCTGTCAGTCGTAGCAAGTGAGGAGGGAGCTGGGATGGGGCTGAGCCCCGTTCTGTGTGTTTTATGGACACACAAAGCTGGGCTCTTGAATGAGCATGTAGGTGTGCCTCCAGAGCAAGCGACTTTCACTCGGGGCACTCAGCAGGGGAGGGCCCAGGAGTATTGGCGGGGAGGATTGGGCTGCTCTGTGCAAAACCATTGCACAGAGCAGGTAAGTATAGACTTGTTTTTTGTTTAAAAAAAAAATGAAGCCTTTAGGATCACTTTAAGATAACTTTTCTCAAACTCTTTTCCATCATGAGTGCATTGGTATTGCATATATTTTGTGTAAAAAAAAAAAAAAAAAGATCTGCTTATTCAAACATGGACAGTCTTAAGGTGTTGTTTATAGTTCTTTTTGTTTACAAAGTTTTTATTTTTTAAGAAGTAGGCTGTCATAACAGCAACAGGTAGAATATGTAAACCGAAACAAGACACATCTGTAGTATACATTCCAAAAGGTACAATCATGTAAGGAAAAAAAAATAGAGAAAAGAAAATAAGTACATGAGCAATATAGATAGAGAGGTAGACAGAGCTATATAGCTACCAAAAGAGTTATTCAATCAAATCCTGAGCGGTCATTAATCATAAGTAAATGCCTATGAGTTCTCCAAAGTTCCCATTTTCTATCAAATAAGTGCATCTTATCCAGTAAAGAATAATGAATCTTTTCCATGAGCATCACTGCATCAATTCTATGTAGAACTGTGGCCAATGGTACCGTGAGGGATTTCTAGTGTAGGGCAATAGCCCATAGGGTGGATATACAGATGGTATTGATTAGCCTCATAACCTCAGTCTGAACTCCCGAGATATGCGCTCCCAGTAGGCAGGACTGCATAGACAGATGTACCGAGGCACCTGCTACAGCAGAGGCCACTTCAGAGATCTTGTGCCACACCAATGAGAGGCTTGGGCAGGCCCAAAATATATGCACTAGGGTACCAGCCAGGCCACAGCCCCGGAAACAAAGGTGGGACATCCCTGGAAACATGACATGTAGTCTAGATGGGGTGTAATACCATCGGGTTAATACTTTGAGGGCCATCTCACGAACAGAAAGAGATCGAGAGCTCTTACAGTTGCAAGAAAAAGTATGTGAACCCCTTGGGATTACGTGGAGTTTTGCATGAATTAGGCATAAAATGTGCTCTAAAACGTCATCTAAGTCACAATAGAAGAACACAGTCTGCTGAACATAATACTACACAAACATTAGATGTTGCCATGGTTTAATTGCACATAACATGTAAACATTCACAGTGCACGGAGGAAAAAGTATGTGAGGCCCTAGCTTAATGACTTCTCCCAGAGCTAATTGGAGCCAGGAGTGAGCCAACCTTGACTCCCATCAGTGTGATGATATTGGATGTGTTGCTGACAGCTGTCCTGCCCTTAAAAAACACACACCTGTTTTGGGTTTACTGGTTTCAAGAAGCACTGTCTGATGTGAACCATGCCTCGCAGAAAACAGCTCTCAGAAGACCTACGATCAAGAATTGTTGACTTGCATGAAGCTGGAAAGGATTACAAAAGTATCTCCAAAAGCCTTGATGTTCATGTGTCCATGGTAAGACAGACTGTCTACAAATGGAGAAAGTTTAGCACTGTTGCTACTCTCCCTAGGCGTGGTTGTCCTGTAAAAATGACTGCAAGAGCATAGCGCAGAATGCTGCATGAGGTAAAGAAGAATCCCAGAGTGTCAGCTAAAGACTTACAGAAATCTCTGGTACATGCTAACATTTTTTGTTGACACATCTACAATAAGGAAAACATTAAACAAGAATGGAGTACATGGGAGGACACCACGGAGGAAGCCATTACTGTCCAAAAAGAATATTGCAGCACGTTTGAAGTTTGCAAGAGAGCACCTGGATGTTCCACAGCACTACTGGCAAAATATACTGTGGACAGATGAAACCAAGATTGAGTTGTTTGGGAAGAACACACAACACTATGTGTGGAGAAAAAAAGGCACAGCACACCAACATCAAAACCTCATCCCCACTGTAAAACATGGCGGAGGGAGCATCATGGTTTGGGGCTGCTTTGCTGCCTCAGGGCCTGGACGGATTGTTGTCATTGATGGGAAAATGAATTCCAGAGTTTATCAAGACATTTTGCAGGAAAACGTATGACCATCTGTCCGCCAACTGAAGCTCCGCAGAGGATGGGTGATGCAACAGGACAATGACCCAAAGCATACAAGTAATTCAACAAAACAATGGCTGCAACAGCACAGAATACGCCTTCTGGAGTGGCCCAGTCAGAGTCCTGACCTCAACCCGATTGAAATGCTGTGGCATGACCTTAAGAGAGCGATTCACACCAGACATCCCAAGAATATTGCTACACTGAAACAGTTTTGTGAAGAGGAGTGGTCCAAAATTACTCCAGATCGTTGTACAGGTCTGATCTGCAACTACAGGAAACGTTTGGTTGAGGTTATTGCTGCCAAAGGAGGGTCAACCAGTTATTAAGTCCAAAGGTTCACATACTTTTTCCTCCCTGCACTGTGAATGTTTACATGTTATGTGCAATTAAACCATGGCAACATCTAATGTTTGTGTAGTATTATGTTCAGCAGACTGTGTTCTTCTATTGTTGTGACTTAGATGACGTTCAGAGCACATTTTATGCCCAATTCATGCAAAACTCTACGTAATCCCAAGGGGTTCACATACTTTTTCTTGCAACTGTACATATATTATCCACCATGGAATCCCAATCCTCATCAGAAAAAGTGACACCACTATCCACTTCCCATTTTTGTCTATAAAGAGGGGGTGAGAGAAAGGTAGTAACCGAAAATTGGCGATACAAATCTGAAATAAGACCCCTGAACCTAGGAGAGTCACGGCTAATACATTCGAAAAATGAAATCGGAGATGAAGGTGTCAGACCAAAATGTTGGATTAAAAAATGTCTAATCTGTCGGTAATGATAATATTCTCGAAGCGGGATATCGAAAAGTATATGTAGCATCTCAAAAGTGATATAAGATCCTCCTCTTTGAAAGTCAGATAACCTGATAAAGGATCTATCATACCACCAACGGAATGCCTGTGGAGATGACAATGCTGTGATAAAATTTGGGTTGCCAAAAAATTATGAACCTGGTGAGATAGAAGAAACAAGTTTAGTATAAGTTTATATCGGGATCAAAGCATCAATGATTGGGCAACAATGGAATTATAGGTCAATAACGAGCAGGGGGGGAGTTTTTGTCCATAATATGCCTGGTAGATAGAATGATTGTATAGACTGAGATTCAAATCTGATCCAAGGGACCTGGGAATTAGTTGCCCATTGTGATAGCTGTGCGAAGCGGGCCGACAGATAGTAAAGCCAAAAATTGGGGAGTCCGAGGCCTCCTGCCCGTTGCGACCGGTATAATACAGATGAAGTAAAACGAGGGCGTTTGTTACGCCAAATAAAATTGTTAATCATCCGTGATTGATTTTGTTTGGCCCTTAGGCTAGGTTTACATACACTGTATTGCCAAAAGTATTGGGACACCCCTCTAAATCATTGGATTAAGGTGTTCAAATCACCTCCATGGTCATAGGTGTATAAAATCAAGCACCTAGGCATGCAGACTGCTTCTACAAACATTTGTGAAAGAATTGGTTGCTTTCAGGAGCTCAGTAAATCCAAGTGTGGTACCGTGATAGGTTGCCACCTGCAGTAAGTCCATCCATGAAATTTCCTTGCTACTATATATTCCATGGTCAACTGTTAGCGGTATTATTACAAAGTGGAAGCAACTGGGAACAACAGCATCTCAGCCACCAAGTGGTAGGCAGAGCGGGGTCATCGCATGCTGAAGCGCACTGTGCGCATAAGTCGCCAACTGTCTTCAGAGTCAATAGGTAAAGACCTCCAAACTTTGTGTGGCCTTCAGATTAGCAGAACAGCAGTGCGTAGAGAG